CACCTCAACTTTCCAGGTGAGAAGCAGTACGTCGTCCAACACCGAGAAATGATGGAAGTGTCACTGCCAATTCTGCATGAAATTCATGAGTCATACTCCTGAGTATAGTCGTTTCTTTTCTAATTTACTTCAGTTGATTGGGTTCTTATATCATGACTAGATAGTCATAACTAGTCATTTTCGATTCTATTTCAGTTCATTCACATCTTGTCATTGCTACCGGCCCTCTCATTTGGCCCGGTCCGAGGCTCCTCTGGCCGGCGCTCTGGCGCCCGCAGCAATGCAGGTCTCAAGGGTCAGGTGGGGGACGATGTCAAGTCTTCTTGTTTCAAAAAAAACTAACTGCTGTACTTCGCAAAATCCAACTGCTTCTTCAAAATCCAACTGCTGTACTTCGCAAACGCCTGGCACGAGTCATCGAGGTCCTGAGTTCTGGCACGCCTGGGCACCTGGGCACTCGCCTGGCACCTGGCGACGAGTCTGGCCCTCTCAAGGTTTTCGATGCTCGGTAGCGTCGAGGTCATCAAAAACGATGTGTCCGGCCTGAAGATGTGAGATGCTGTGAGGCGGGGTGACAAACTCATGGTTCTGACATGAGAAGTAAACCTCAGACTTCAACTTTTTGAAGAGATGACTAGATGACTAGCACTTTGAATCGTTTTTAATTTCTAAAAATCCTTAGAACAAATAGTGCCGGAGAGCTGGGTGAAAAACCTTGCACTTAGAATATGACCTGCAGATAGAATATTTCATATAAGATCTTGTTGCGCTGATTGCTTGACGCAGTGCAAGCATGATTGCAATGAAAGAGACTGGAAGAGATTGATGAAGGAGTGGAAAAAATGTATGCATATGTATATATATATACACACACGTGTGAGGAGTAGTTGTCGTGTTTATTCTAACTGCTTCATCTGTGTATTATTCTTACTGCTAAGCTCCCAAAGCCTGCACATTGGTTTTTGAGGGTATTCTAACTGCAACTTAATGAAATTGGAATATTCGAACTGGTAGTCTTCTACTATTAAACCATTAAGACAAGAACGTAGGCTCTTGGCCATGGTGAGGCCCACTCTCCTCATTGAAAGCACGAGATGTTATGTTGTGTCTGCAATTGCAGAACTTCAGGAAGTTCTGCAAAGATCAAAAAAGAGGGACCAGAGTACACCGCAATTAGTAAGAAACAATCACCAGAGTCAAGGTTACAGCTCAGAACTGTTACAAACACGCCATTCCAGTAGAAGAACACTTGTAAGTACAAGTGCGCTTCCACATACTTGGAACATGCGGCCAAGCACTTGGCAATCTGACAAGTAGGTCGGTCTATGAGTGTGACCATAAACCGTTTTTGAAATAGAGGTCGCGCCGACATACCCATACACCGACCCATCCTCGCCAACGTACGCTTGTACCTTGAGTGATCTGTCCTTGGCAGTGCATCAGCGTGAATGGGCGGATAGACTCGGATAGACCGGTACAGCAACGCATCAGTGCATTCACTCCATCACTGCAAATGGATCAGGACACCAATACAAGCGTTACACCATCTCTGCATCAAAGCCGCGCATGGATTTTTGACATCAGGACCAGATACTTGTAGACTGAAGAATACGGATCTGCGGACATTGTGAGCATCCTCTTCTTTGGAACTTATGCTCCCTGAAACAATCATGGAAGTGCAAAACCACCTGTTGGTCATCTCCAAGGGGCCATTTTCCACCTCCATGATTGTAAGTGTATACATTTTTTCCCGAAAGCATTGCGAAGGGTTCTTCCGGAAAATCTCTTGAACACTGACACTTCTACACTTACACTCACACACTGACACTTCCACACTTGCACTTGAACACTGACATTTCTACACGTACACTTGAACACTTACGCTTCCACACTTACACTTGAACATGAACACTTACACTTCTATACGTATCCCAGTGTAAGTGGAAGAGTGAAAGCATCCAACGGCAAGTATCCAAGTGCAAAAGTATGCAAGTGTAATGTAGGTGCGAGTATGGAAAACTTGCACGGGAGATGTCCTAATGAGTATGCAAGTGTGAGTATGGAAAACTTGCACGGGAGATGTCCTAATGAAAACATTTCCCCACTTTAATAAATTCTCTCTTAAAGGCGGAGGGTGGAACGAACAACGTCAACCGAAAATGCAACCCTCTGCGGAGATCGTGCGTGTCGAGTGCGCGAAGTGCAGGCGAGAGTGCGATTTGTCCGGTGCGCGCGCAGCCCTCTGCGGAGACCGTGCGTGTCGAGCGCGCGAAGCCACAGAGACCCACGCACTGCCGCCTCAACTTACTCGGACACACGTACACACACAGACATAGATACACACACACAGACCCACACACTGCCTCAACTCACTCGACTTAACACTTCACACTGAACACTTAACAGATAACTCACACTCTGACTTCCTACGTGATGGAAAATGCTTTCGGGCCACTCGCCGTCTAGTGCTACTTTTTAGGTCCTCTTCCTCCTCTCCTCCAACGATGTGCGCCTACAATCGCCCACTTCAGAAGTGCCTGTCAGAGGTAGAATGTGATAATCCATCAGATCTCTTGGGGTTGCTTAGTTGGTGGATTGTTGCAAAGATGCTCGTTGTTGGAAGCTATTTGGAGTGTCTTGTGGAGTCTGGTGAAAGGAGAAATTCCTCCAAGAAAACCAGCTTTCCGATGTGACAGCACCTGTTGGTAGTCACCGGCCCGTGAAATACCCATGCTGAGGCACCGCCATAGCAGCTTCATATTTTCATTTCAGATTACATCACGTTTTTTTCCGCGTAGAATCGTAGAACGATTGCCCAACATGTTTCCCTGCACGCAGCCATTGCATTTTTAGTGCAGCTCGAGCTGCTAGTTTACTCTTGACATGTTCATGAATTCTTTTCCTTTTGATTGTTGATCAGTCCAAGCAAGCTGTGAGTGGGTTGTGAAGGCGTTGTGAATGGGTTGTTGTTGAAGGCGTAATTTGGAACATGATGCACAGGCACAACCTTGCAAAGTCAATACCAAACTGATTGTCGACCACGCCCGAGAATTGTTAATCGCAGTTGCAAATTTGTGTGCTGTACTTCGGCTGCGCTGAAGTGCCCAGCCTTCAATACGAGGGTGAGGGGGTAAGGGGTGCATTTAAGCTGAGCCTTTTCGTCTCCAAGAACAGTGAATTGGGTCGAGCCTCTATATAAAGGCAGTTTTCAGCTGGAGTCAGGAGTCCTAGAAAAACCTTGTATCACAAGACCACAAAGCGAAAGCTTCGCCACCATCCAAGTGCGATCATGAACACCAGCATGTGGGTTTGATACACACTGGCCGCTAGATAGTGTTTATGACGTGCTTTGCCATGGTTCCATCTATTGCAGAGTTACAAACTGCTGCTACCTGATTGGTATATATATATATATGAACCAGCTTCTGATGCTCCGATTTGGTTCCACTTGAACCCGGTCACCAAGAACAAAATGGCTCATTCGTTGCTAGTTTTGGAAGACAATTGAAACCAGCATGCTTCGAACGAGACTTTTCCAGGCCCTATGGGACTCCAGACATCTTGAACCGTGGTAAGGTTAAAAAGATTCAGACATCCCGCACAAAGCCTGGAGACTGGACATAGCAGCTTCTTTGATGGTTGGGCTGTTTCGGCCAAAACAACCAGAGAAGACTTCAATATAGAGGTCGGTCGTGAAATATAGATTGTCGAAACCTTAAACGTGACCCAATTGTTGCTTTATGTTGTTTCCCAGTGGGTTTAGCAGAGGTTCATGTCAGGACGTAAGGATGGACAGAGTCAGGGTGGTAACAAGGAGCTGACACTCTGGAACTCACAGTTTCAACATCGGCTATTCATTTTATGTTCCGCCCCACACCCACCGTTCAACCAGCACAACACAGCTTTCCGAAGCAAAAGATCCAGGCAAACACCGGACACAATGACTTCCACACGCTTGCCAAGCCACTGCAGCCAGCCTGTCCTTTTGAGAACTCCAACAATTCCAATAGTCATGTGAGGAATGAAGCGGCAACTGCAATTGCGTGGGATATTGTGTGCTCCTCCATTAGTCCGCTGAGGTATATATATATATATATGGAAGTGGAACATGGTCTACTAGAAGACTAGTTTCCTTCACATCGAGATTTTACACCTCTGTGGATTCCAGGGTTTCCACTCCAAAAAAGGGCCAGAAAGTGTTGTTTTAGTTTAATATATTCTGTATGTACAACTATGTCTTATGTCTCTCCACTCCTTCAGGAACAGATCTCTGAACTCAGTTGCTATGAAGTCACATTGAAGGTCATCGCTGCTTAAGTGGTGGGTGCTTGGAAGACCAATGGGGAACAGTCCAACATTTGTGAGTTGTCTTTGACCTTATTGTTCTTTTGTAGAGCTTTAATGTCCCATGTGAAGCTGCTTCGTGAGGCCAATGTGAAGATCCTGGCTGATTCCGAACGCACTGCACCGCCATCACTGCGTCAATGCCAGGTCTTCAGTGATTGTCGGTCCATTGCCATACATCGAGCAAGCAGCAGTTGATTGCTTGTCCCAAATTTGCATTTTGCTCCTTTGGCTCACTCTCCTAAGCTCACATGTTTGGGAGCCAAGGATAGACGGTGATCTAGGGCAAACACGACATCTCCACAAACATCAGGCTTGGCAGAGTGCTGGTGACTTCTGGACGAGTGAGGTCAGTACTGCCCTGTTTTGTGTGCGGTGCAGGCTTGCCTGCGTGTGGGGCGTATGGAAGATCATCAACTCTTGGGACGTGTCTTGAATCGCAAGTGGCAGCCCGTCGAAAGCAGTTTTTGTTCTTTTCAAAGCATCCAGATGTGTTGCATGGCTGGCAATACCGGTCGCACTTCTTTTGCCCGGTGCATCGCTGACATGTGTTGTTTCCAAACCTTTGGATCTGGACTGCCAAGCCTCGCGTGGCGCTGGCCAAGGGTCTTTTGGGGTCCACAGGGTTCATCTCCATCGAGCGAGTTCGGAGGGGCTTTCGATCATGGAAGTTGGGCCTCTAAGTTCGAGGAGATTCAAGACCTGAGGGCTTTTCACAGCATGTTTTGGAGTGATGGCCCTTATGCCAAGCCTTGCCTCTTGCTCACCCGCTGAAAGCTGCATGGGTGTTGTTCGCGAGCTTGGCTCAAGCAGCCCTAAATCAGACCCCCTCAGCCTGGAATGGCTGTTTTTCTCATTTTCGTATTTGCATCTCAGAGTCTTCATCTTGTCCATGGAATTCGTGAGATTGGCGCAGCTGATGCTCGTCCTTCGCTGCGTTCGGGTGTGGTCGCCGTTGGAACTGCGGAATCATCCATGTCGTACTTCCGACAGTTGTCACATCGCTTGAAGGTTGAGGCTGAGCAGGAGTCTTCTGAGGATTGCACACCCGAGTCCATGAAGAGACACCTCCGCAATGCCAGCACCGACGACGTAGAAGGGAAGCTTCATCGCCGGGAGCCTGTGAGTTTCATCCGGATCGGTGATGGTGATGTGTATTGCCTCGGTGGTGTGGGTGGATCGAACTCAGAAGGTGTGAGCTATTCAAGCCACAAGAGCGCTTGCCAAGACCTGGCCACATCCTTGCAAGAGCTTGGCGCAGAGGAGGATGCCAACATGTACGTGCTGGTTGGCACCTTCTTCTTTTGCAGAAACAATGTGGGCCCAGAGTTTGGCAGTTTCTTGCAAAGCCACCAGCTGCATCCGAAGTTCAAGGGCTTCATCACCTCTGTCTTCTACGTGGATCTAACTCATACCGGAAACCCATCTTCTACAGATGGCGGGACCGGACGAATCGTGCCGACAACCCTTCCGGCTCTGGTGGGGCGAAAGGTGGTTGTGGTGGGGCCAAGCCACTTGAAGGTGCTCAGGAAGACTCTGAACTTCGCCAGCTTCATCGATGCCACGAATGCGGCGGATCACGTGCCACAGATCGTTGACGCAATCAAGGATGAGAGTGCCAAGTGGCCACAAGAGAATGTGATTTTCTTGGTGTCCGGTGGCTTCGGCGGACGGCTGGCGATCCTCAAAGCCTTCAAAGATGTGGGGCAGAAGGACAGTCTCATCGACACAGGCGCGAGTCTCGATGGCTTTGCTGGGGTGGAGAGTCGAGACTTCAACAGCCGTGAGCGCCTCTGTGGCATGCAGCCGCAGTTCATGGCACCCGGGCTGTGCTCCTGCAGCGGAACCAAGTGCCATGCAGACAGATCTGGCGCTTAGAAAAGCGTGGGCAGGTCTTACAAGACATCTTCGCAGACAGTCGAGCCATAAGCACTTTGTACACAACCACTTGCAAATTGAAGCAAGAGTTTGTGGGTACTTAGCATGATATAGTGTCCATAACACAATGATTATGCTGAGCTTTGAGGTCTGTGTCCTGGCTGTCAGAGATGCGCCGAACTTGAAAGCAGGACTGGTTGATGAGAGCTGACCTGGAGGGCACAATTTGGAATGCCTGAGTTCAATGTGCGAACACGCTTTCTACGAGGTATGTGCCAGCCTGGCTTTGTGTCATGGACTTGGCTAGTCTGTGGTGACAAATATCATTGAACATCATTATTTTCTTTACATTCCTTGTAACTGCCATTTGATATGGTGTTGAAATCAGATGACACGCGTTGTATGCCACCAACTTGAAGAATTCCTTTGGGCATCTTCAATTTGCAATGTCGTGAGGTGTCGTTGACAAATTCTCTGGAATGGCCGGTTCTGGACGAGAAGGCATGCTTGTGCAAAGAAATTAAGCAGGCAATCTAGTTCTGTGGATACGATGGTGGTTGTTGGTTCTTTGTTTTGGTTTCTTGCTGGTATTTTTGGCTTGTAGTCTCATTGAACGTTCCAGGGCTCTTGTCTACGCATGAACCCCTCTTTTTTATGTTTCAGGTGATGGAAGAGTTTAAGGAACTCCCCTAGCGTCAACGTGAACCTGCCGTATTGAAGATCGAATGCAATCCATCCGCGTGAGCAAACAGCCAGAAGAAACCTGTTCGCACTGAGTTTCAAAGCAAAAGCTTCAAGGCAGCAAATTAGGTACCGCCGCTAATAGTGACCTATTCGCACAGCGCCGAAGTGGACAGTGGACAGTGGTCGAAACTGAAAAGTGCGGACATATTGGTCGACGCGTTTTGCGTCACGCTGTCCTAAACCTTCGCGGGTCGCCAGACTGTATGGCACATATTTCTTCACGTTAACATGCCCCCCCCCCCCCCCCCCCCCCACCAACCACGAAGCATCAACTCGTGACCCAAGTGCACGCGAACGTTAACATGCCCCACCCCACCCCAACCCAACCCCACCAAAAATCGCGATTTCCTCTGGGGTCGCTAACAGCGGCGACAGCGCAAACTAGCTCATGTAAAAATAAATTGTGTTGTGTTTTCTTTTTGAGTTGACTGCTCCAGGTGGCTGAAGCATTTGCACGATGGTGCTTGGAGTGGAGCCCTTGTAGACGATGCCTTGTGTCAGAAATCACAACCGTTAGAATGAATTGAAGAATGATGTCCTTCCGTTTTTGTGCGCACTTTGAGTCTTCTGAAAGGTTACTACGAGCAGATTCAGATTCAGGACGATAGGACACATCCATTATGTCCGCAGCTATCGTTCCTCAGTGTAGGGTAAAGTGTATTGAATCATTGTGCCTGTAGTTGCTTGATTTCTTCTATCCATATTCTCACCTGGCCTATTGACCATGAGTGGGAAACATCGTATGACTCCAGTGGCCTTGCTGGTTTTGTACGCTTTCGTGCCTTGGGCATCATGCCTCCGCCCAAGCAGCGATGCATTTGTCGTTGAACAAGCAGCTGTGGAAGAAGAGCCTCATGCGTGCGGCGGCAATGTGTGCATAAGAGCTACAAGTGACCACAGGATCAACCAAGGACGCTTCCTGATGCTGCCCAGTGAAGATAGCGTGGAAACTCAAGCATGGAAGCAAGTACTCAATCTATGCCGGCAAGGAATGCTCTGAGGGCAAGGTTGCTAGTGCTCGGCTCGTGCCCTGGATCAGCCGTCGCGATCCAATCGAGGCATCGACGCTTGAAGTCTTTGTAGATCCGAAAGATGTGATGCGGCTCTCCGAGCTTCAGACCCCGACATATCTTTGTGCGAGTGAGTGGCACGAGGGGCAGGGAGCAAAGTGCCTATGCAGGATTCCACATCAAAGCAGCCGCTCATTATTAGCGCATCTTGGAGGGTCATCTCTGATGAAGATTGGCAGCATAGCAGATGCTGCTTTTGCCGCAGAGAGGCGTTGTGATACCATGTGGATTCCTGAGGGCGTTGCCCTGGTGGTCTTTGCGCTCCTCGCCCTTTGTGGTGTCGCCAGCATAGAGGCTCTCATAGCGCATCGTAACTTGATGATCCAACGAAGGGCGGAAGAGCGTGCAAGCCCACAAGAGCTTGTGATCATGTCCACTCCAAATGCGCAGCTGTATGCGGGGACATCGCTGGCCGTGGGTTTCGCTGCTCTTGTCATGACAACGCAAACTGTGGCAGTGGCAATCTTGATCAGGTTTGGTACCACAGAGAGCGTTGTGTGGACTATGATTGCAAGTTCTGGTGTCTTTGGCGTCTTTGGGATTTGCCTCTTCTACACTGTGCTTTGCCGAAACCAGTTGGTTCAGTCTTGCTTGAACGTGAGAATTTGTGTGTGCAACAGGCCTTCCACTGCACGCGTCACAGGTTTGTTGGCTGCTGGTGTGTTTGCTTATGTGCTTGCCATCGCAGTCTGCCTTCTACGGTCGGCAGTGGTGGGGGGTTCGCTCATGGATGCCATTAAGGTCATTGCTGTCGCGGTGAGTGCAATGGTTGGTCCAATCATGAGCCTTTTGAAGGCGCTCAGAAGCTCCTTGGAAGCAGAGCAGGCTTCTGTTCAGATCAAGATGAAGGTGGAGGTTTTCGAAGATGTTGTGCAAGCAGCATCCGGAGAGGTAGTCTCAACCACAGATCCTCCAGGGAAAAGGCCAAGTGACAGAAAAGCAGAACTTCAAAAGTGGAAGACCATGAGATGGAGCACAGTGGTCAGTCTATGTCGGTCTGATAACTTTCTGAAGATTGAGAGCTCGAGTGAAGATGTCAATGATCCAAGCGAAGGCTCGAGTTGACCATCTACATGCCTCTACTGTTGTAGATTTGATTGTTGGGAGCAGAGCTTTTTGGGCATGTCAAGTAGAGGTGAAGGTTCAACCCACCTGAAATAAGTTTCTGATGAATCGGCAGCCTGCCAGGTGGCGAGTTGCATCTAGTGAAGGACATTGCTTGGCATCGCAAGATGATTTGGAGGCTAACTGGATCGAGTGCAGGCTTCTTGAGCTCGACATACGAGGAGTCAGTTGATTTTTCCTTTAGATAACATCCCCAAAGTCGATCAAATTAGCTGAAGGGCGACATGCACTGAATCGTACCTAAATTTGGCAATTCCTTTGCGTGTTGGAGATGTATATAAGAGGAAGCATTTTTTGTGCATTATCCCTCCTCTGCAACAGGCTTTTTGATTGTGCCCAGCTGCCTCTTGGCCGTCACATTGACTCTGTCTACCACACTGGTGCAGACTGCTTTGTACGGATGCTCTCGTGGTGAGCTGCAAATGTTGGAGGTTGCTGCCTATGACGATCTGCACTTTGCAAAGTGGCAAGATCACTATGTCGTCTACTCGGACGCCTCCTACCAGAGGTCTTTCACAATGGTTACTGGTGATACCTATGCAAAGACACTGGAGATCCAAATGAGTGATGGACCTCAATACCAAGGGGATGAATACGAGCAAGATCTATCCAACTCGACAGCTGAAGTCATCACGGTCAAAATAGGGGAGATGAGCATCCCTCGAGTTGTCAATGTCAGCGCCCAGGGAAATCGGCAAAGTCAGGAGGGCACCAACTACTCAGTACTTTTTTCTCCACAGAAGAAGCTACCACTGTTCTTGCGGGTCTCAGATCGATTTGGCTCCTTCAAGAGATGCGTCTCTTGGGGAGCTCTCACAGACAGTGAGCTCAGCATCCCACCGGATTACGGCAACCTGAACGTTTCCGTGGTCTTCGCCGACTTTGCCCTGGGTCCTCCATACTCTCCCGGGCATATTCTGCCAAATGCCTCAAAGGTTGCATTGGACACCACTTGGACAACTTTTGAAAGTGGATCTTCTCAAAATCTGGAGCAATGCAAGAAGAGGCGTATTGGGCAGAAGGGCTCAGCTGGCATGCAAACAAGTTTAAGCAAAGCAATTTTAGGTTCTTCCATGATAAGGATAAGGCACTTCTTGTTGTGCGAAGTTTTTTCTTTTGGAGGACACATGCCAAACAAGAAAGCAGGTCTAGGAGACATGTTTGACACACGCATGCGTGTTCCCAACGTTCCGTTGGGTACGGCTGATTGTGACGATCTGCAGGTGCCAAGACAAGCTGCCTTGGTCTTTGAAATGTTCCGTGCCTCTGGCTCACAGCCTTCATCGGAGGCGGCGCGAGTGGTGTTGCGGCGAGGTGCACCGGTTGCCATGGATGTCCTGGTGAGTTTAGTTGGACACTCCTCATCGCAACAGGAAGAGATCCCCTGCAATGGCTCCGTCACAGATGAAGGCAATCTGGTTGTGCAGGTCTCAGAGTATGACCCAATGACATATAAGCTGCTGACATTGGTCATTGTTCCCATTCTCGCAGACAAGCACTTCATCGTGCAATATGGTGCGCTGCCGGCAGGTGCCACAGACGCAGACGACTCCAACTTGCCGCACTTTGCCCGCTGCACGGAGAGCACTCTGTTGCAAGAGCGCTACAGACCATGTAATGGGCCTGGCCAGTGGGAGACCCAGCCTATTTCCTTGAACATCTCACGTTGGTTCCCAGACCTTGCTCCTCAATTTGAGATCGTTCCCAGAACTGATGCCATGGCAGAAAGCAACCTTTGGCCTTTGAAAGCTTGGCACAAAGTTGAAGTGCAGTTTGCCGGCGTTGATCGCCCCGCAGCTTGGTCGGCCAGAGATCATGGGTGTGAGCTATTCTCCAAGAATACAAACCAAGAAGAATGGGATCGTGCAATGACCCAATCAGCAGATGCCTTGTGTACCTTGCTGGCGGCTGGCTGCATGCAGCACTACACGACAAGATTCTGTAGTATCGTCGAGGCTGCTTTGAGAGGTGATATGCCGGAGATCAATCCAGGAATCCCCCCAGTGGCATTTCTTCAGGCTGTTGCATGCTTCAAGCCCTTTGACCAACAGAAGGTATGCTTTGGGAATGTTGGGCCAAGAAACTGGCAGTACGACTCTGTCAACTTGCTATTCCATGGTGCGATGAGGGGAGGACGTCAGTCGGTGTCCATTCCGCGAGAGATTCTGTTTTCCTCCTTGATGAGCTTTGACAGCAAAGAGGAGGAACCAACATACCTGAATGCCTCATTTGACGTCATCGTTGAGATGTTTCTGGACACCTTAGACCGCAACCAACTTCCTCGTCACAACGTTATCGAGCTGTTCTTCGGTGGGGCTTTGCGGACAGGTTGTTGGGGTCTCATCGAGAAGTTGATGGTGAAAGCAAAGAGCAGCCGATCCACCAATCCTTTCGCCAATTTCAGAGAGAAGGCAAAGGGCGCCTGGGAGGGTCTCCTTTTGAGAAGAGGTTCTCCAAGGTTCAATGCTTCACAATGGCTCATCAAGATTTCAGAGACTTTTGGACCCGAAATGCTCAAGAACTTAGTTCAGGTCGCAGTACGTGAAGGTCATTATCTTTCCGTTCCCCAGGCTATGACTTCTTTCTTGAAGTTCAGTGGAAAGGGTCTTCAGGAACTCGACATTGATCTACTGACACCACTCGCAGTCAGTGACCTTGGCATCATTTTGAAGTGGACTCCCAACCTTAACACCTTGTTCGTGAAGTGCTGGAACTGCGGGCCAAGGCAGTCAAGCATGTCCCATCAAGATGGCTTCTTCTCGGCGCTCGCCAAGCTCCCGAAGTTGCGAAGAATGGAACTGCCAGCATTCACCATGTCTGTTCCTGTTTTTGAGCACTTTGTAGAAACCCTTCTTCGACGAGATCAGCTGGCAGAAAGAGTGCCTATGCGGAAGCTCTACCTTCATGCATTTAAGGAGGAGCAGCCCTTCGAACCCAGACTTATCGGGGCCTTTGCGCCAATTTGCATCATTCACTTGGAGGCTAGATTTGTCAATGGGAAGACATTTTCGCACTTCTTTAGGTTTGGATGCTGTATTTGCAATTGTTGACGTGGTTGGCTGCCAGTGTAGCCTCTTCTTAGGACGCTTGAGATTGCTTGTTTCCAATCTGACTTGTCCTAAAGCATCAAGTGCATCTATCAGGGGAGAGCGGCACGTTTCTTCGCATATCTTCACAGTTTATAGATCTCCAAACCTTTGGCCCCAGGTAGCAGGTTTTCTAAAGACCGCAGAGGATGCACGAACAGTGGAAGAAGCATTCAAGGCATCCAGCCAAACCAGCAATTCTACCACTGCTTCGGGGCAGCCTTGGTCGTGTCTGAAGAGTATGAGGCTGGAGGATTTGCACAAGTTCCAGAATGAATCCAAGGCAGTGGAAGATGCAATCAAGCACTTCCCCAACAACGTTTATCTGAAGGACCACTAGTGAACTTCGCTTGAAGCTCTTCAGACGATTTGCCTAGGCTAGAAACACTCGACTCTTTGCTGCTTGTGTTGCGTTGATGTGTGTGTGTGTGTGTGCAAGCTGCGATTGATGGTGTTCATGCCGAGGTTAAGCCCGCTTGAAGGGCATACTCCTGCACAAGGTACAGGAGTTGGTTGCAGACATGACCAAATGCATCCATATGACATGAAGAGCAGAAATAGCACGGAGCTTTTGTGTTCAACAACAGCCTTTTGTTTATTGTCAGGAGCAAGTACAAGGCCTGGTCAAGCTGTTGATCATTGCAGTCGATACCAATATATCAGGCAGGACAGACATGAACAATGTGAACTCGTGCTCAGATTTTGCTTGGTGTTTTGGAGAGACGCGGCAGCACATCATTCGCATCCTGTTTGGCTGCAAGAAGCGTCTAGCGAAAATGCGCACAACGCCTCTTGTACCTGGAGGATTTGGTCACTTGCAGGGTAAGCGATTCTTTCCTCCTTTCCACAATTGCTGTCTTCAGCGTCAATAAGTCTCAATCAAGACTGAAGCCTGCCATAGTAGGGAGAAGGCTAGCTGCCGTTCACGGCATGCCACTGACAAGCTGCTTTTAGTATGGAGTCCATCATGTTTGTGCCTGACATGAGAGCTGTGACCCGATTCTGCTGCAAGCTCCGCTCCTGCATGAGTTCCTTGCCGGTGTGTTTGTTGATGGGACTACAGCAAGCTGTTGACACTTCCCACACAAAGGGAGCGTTTTTCGAATCTTGCTGTTCGCTGATTGTTGGAGGTCCACATCAACTCCTCCAGGCCAATTGGCTCACGCCATTTAAGTATCCTCATTTGTCTTGAATCTTTTTTATTGGTACCTACTGATTATAAAGAAGGGCAATCTGTTGAAGACTCATTCGGCGATCATCCCGCTTTTCACCAGTGACTGCCGTCCAGTCTGCTTTTCTTGTGCATGGATCAAGCAAAACCATACTATTCTGAAGTTCAGGATCTTCGCTGCTTCCAGTGTTTTTCTTGTGGAGTTCTATTTGTTTGCCGTACACATTTCATCAACGGGAGACATAAGTTTTTGATTTGTCCACTTCTGCCCGTCACCTACATCAACCCAGGGGTGAAAGTCTTACATGAAGTACGTGATGTGCCTTCCTGCGTCCTTGCTGTATCATCGCATGCCATTTGCAATTTGGACGTATCATATATACACATGTCTGTATAACATCAGTATATGTATAACAACAATAATACTGGTGGTATAATATATATATATATACGAATACATACACACATACAATACGGATATTATGGTGCAAGCGGCTCTGGCTCTTGTGCAGAATTCCCTTGCACTGCAAGAGGCTGGGCGTGAACGGGCGAAGACAAACTCAACAGTCTTGGTTGAGCTACTTGAGAGGACAAGCAAGTTGTATGGTTTTAACAACGTACTGAGAGTTGCTGGGCATCTTCCACATGCAAGTGTGAAGTACTTTGTCTGACTTGTCACCTCGTACAGTGGCTCAAGACTGTGAAAGATGAGAAGTAGCTTGGCAATCCTTGTTCTTGCATACGCGACCTGTGCAGTATCTGAGCGTCTGAGGGTGCTTGAAGATATTTGCAATGGCTTCACGTTGACCACCAGAGAAGGTCAAGCCATCGAGCTGAAGGCCAGAAAACAGCCTGGGCAGATCATCGACACCTTCGCCTTCGGCAACAAGTTTGAGATTGAAGTGCTTTTGCTTCGCCTGTATGAAATGGGAGATGAAGTTGCTGAGTTCCACATAGTTGAGGGTGATCGTGACTTCACTGGATCTCCCAAGGAGTATGAGTTTGATCTGGTGCGTGGGAAGTTGGACGCGTGGAAGCACAAGATCACCTATCACAAAGCCAAGATCCCTGCTGGAGTGAAGGACTACGACTTGCAAAATGCTCAGAGGCATCGTTCTTGCCAAAGCCAAAGTAGCTTTGAGGGGTCCCTACAGGAAGGAATCTATTTCAGGCTAGCATTCTTGGTCATCAAGGGGAACGGGGGTTCTCATGTTACTGCAAGGACTAGATTTGTTTTCAACCGTTGAGACTTGGGATCGTGTGGTTTTCTCTCCTGACACTGCTGACGAGTTGTCTAGCTTCACTGCTGTCCATTGACCCCCTTTGAGGCTGTCAATGGACTCCGAGATGAAGTCGACTCCTCGCGATCCAGCGGATGTCCTTCTTGAGGGCGACCTGGACGAGATCGTTCACCATCGGACGCTCCAGGTTCTGAGAAACTGCGAGCCTGCTTCTGGCGCTTGGAACACGCGCATCCGCATGGGCAACTTCTACTACACGATCGGGTGGACCACGGGTGATTGGGAACACCCTACCACCGCTTCATTCTTCAGTGAGGATCACCCTGCCAAGTGGTCCACCTCATTCACTTCGTCCACTTCTGGCATGTCTTCCTTCGCTGAAGCCAAGGCCATTTGGGATCGGCCAAATCTGCTGAGCTCCAGAGATGGCCCCACTGGTTGGCACCTGGGTTGGATCCTGAATGGTGCTGAGGGCTTGGCTCGAAAGATCTTTCTCCTAGTCGAAGGTCGACCAGTGTGGGCCCGAGACTACAAGGATGAGGCTGCGCTGGCCAAGTTCCTGAAGAGCTCTTTCTATGCCAACCCTCAATCCTACGACTACAAGATTTATCCATCCCAAGTGCATAAAGATGATGTGCCACAGGCTCTTCTTGAACACCCTGAAGAGTTTCCTACCATCTTGCGTGGTGTCACCCTTTGACACGCCTGACTCTGAAAGACAAAAAGGCTGCAGCCAGACGGTGTGCATTGTTTGAACCATGCAGCGCTGCAAAAACGATCTGTGAACTTCCACAGCAGAGAAGACATGGAGGTTTCAGATAGCGACAGGGCTCAAATGTACTTGCGCATTCACAGCCAAAGGGTTGAGTATTTTTCTGTAGGTGCCAGCCGCACTGAGCCAAACAAGTCCTTTTTTGGATGTGTCCGGGCCCAAGACAGAATTTACAGGTTTGTTTCGGCCAGGTTGCAGCCAGACCTTCAATGTGTGCAAACGTTTTTCTTTGTGTTTCCAGTGAAATCTATAGTTTGTTTTCTTCATTCAGTTTTGAGTCTTTGCCCTAAGAATGCACGACATCCATCGAATGTACTCCACTGGATGGGCCCAAGAACGTTTTCTTTCGTTTTGAGTTGCCAGGGCGCTGTGAAGCTTTTCTTAGATTGGTTGATCGCGCCACCGCACGTTTGGCTTTGTACCCGCACAGTTGCGGGATGTGCCGTGTACATCCTTGTACCACGTGCGTGCATGTTCATGCCAAATACACAATTCTCGAGTCTCCAGGCTCTCATTGTTTTGTGTTCTCTTGGTGTTTTCTTCTTTTCAGAAGTTGCAACACAACAGGTCACACTTGTTCGCCATGGGCGCCCAGCTTGGGCGTGTGGATATCAATGAGATCTTCACATACAGAGCTCCAGTAGTTGCTGTGATTAAGGACTACAGATTGGGCCTTTTGAATCTTTGCTTGATGCTTTTGATTGCTGTCTACATCCTGGTGTATCGTCTTTGGGTCTTGGGTGGCTATTTGCACAAACCAAATCTGGCTATGGAAATGAGGGCGACTCTACGAGCGCCAGACCAACTCCTACCGAAGGAGCAGCTGCCCTATTGTTGCTGGTCCTTTCCATGCAACGCCACGGAACTCGCCGCCCACAAGCAATGGTGTCTTCCGCTTCTGGGAGAAGAGGCGTCGATTGAACAAGCCAACCGATTCACAGTGGTGACGCACAAGAAGATCAAGCAGAGACAGCTTGGGCTACAGTTGTCAAAGGTAACCAAGGAGCACCATTTTGTACTTGACATTGAACACTTCACAATGAAGGTCGCTCCAACTATCTTCACGACCAACGTGAATGAACAAGATCAGCATACCATTTTGCAAGGCCGTAGCTTGCACGGCCGACTTCTTGTGGGCAACGCGGTTGAAGGATCGGGCCCGCCCAATGAAACACAACATGAGCTTTGTCGAGAGAGATCAAAAGAGCACAAGGCCTTCGACAGAGCAAGGGGTGGTGTGCCGAAAGAGACGGCCCCATGCTACATTGACGCAGACATCAAGATTGCCGGCGATGATATTTTCCTCATCAAAACATTGCTGCGGGCAATGGGCCTAGGCGAGGGCATGCTTGACAAGCCCGGGGTTGTTCGAAATGGAGAGCGTGCCCGTGCTCATGGCTTTCAGGTGATTTTTGAAATGGACATTGTAAGCTTCGAGCCATGGCGAGGCCTAGTGGAGCCTTATTACGTTTTGAGGGAGATTCTGATTTATGGCAGCAGCCATAGCATTGAAGCAGCCGTGAGCCAGGAAGCAGGTAGTCAGGCTTCTCGCAGGGCAGTGGAAGATTACGGCATTCTCTTCGTTTTTCGAGTGAGTGGCACATTGGCTCATTTCACGACCTTTGGACTCTTGGAGGAGCTCAGTGCAAGCTTTGCTTTGCTGGCAGCAAGCGCTGCTCTCATCAAGTTCTTGGCCATCTATGTGTTTCCTTTGGCAAATGTATATCACAGAGCCATACACCGTATCTCGCCCAACATGGACACGGTTCAGAGGTTGTTGAGAAGGAAGGAGCACAAGGTCAAAGCTGCACACAGGAAGTTCTTTCACCACGACCAAGGCTCGAAAGAGGATTTCGTGCTGCGTTTGAGTTCCTCTCACATCGATATATCTTCAGATTCTGATGATTCTGATTCCGAGTTTGAATCCGCTGACTCTAGCAAAGAAGGCTCCCGCGCCTCGAAATCCTCCAAAGAGCTCCGAGAGAACTCCCGGAGCTCCAGAGAGTCCCGAGGGAAGCGCACGAAGGTGGTGCACGGCAACGTCCACACGTAGAGGCAAACCACAAGGTGGTTGCCACGTTCCGAAGGTGGTTGCTTGAAGGCAGTTTTTCTGCCTTCCACAAGCTGCTGGCATTCCTTGCTCACTTAGTCACACTTCGCGTCCTTAGGGCTTTTGTGTGGAGTTTTAGATCAGTGTAGAATACATACTCTCTGCATTCCAAAAGTTTGTGTTTTCCCAAAAGGTTGCCACTGGTCTTGTACACGTTCTCACCCTAAAAGGGACGTGCGCAGATGTACGGACCTGCATCACTGCTTGGTTTTGGACAAAGTCTCCACCTTTCAACACGTGCGTTAAAACAACTTCCCACGCACGCGTGAAGAGAGCAAAAGGCTCAATACCAAGCTGATGCAGTTTTATATAGTTCGCTTGACCCTTCTCTCCAAATGGGCTGATGAGCAAAACGGTCGCTGTTTCAGTGGGCCCTTGGTTGTTGCAGCGCCGGGGATGTTCGTTGAAATTTGATGCTAGCGATCTCCTATCGAATGGGACCCTCGTTTTGTTTACGAAAAAGATGGGTCGAAGATAGGTCGAAGTCCCTTGAGACGCGTGGCTTCCTTTTCTGCAAGGCCATGACGAGATGTTGCAACAGCTCTGTTGCAACTCGTGAGAAGAAGCGCTTTTCAATGCTTACTCTGGCAAAGGCGTGAGATTTCAGACTCACTTGGTTTGTCCAGGAAGATGGTCTTAATTCCAACGGGCCATCATACAGGGTCAATGTTGGTTTGGGTTGTCATCGCTGTCATCGCTGTCAGTATTTAGCACTTTGTTAGCATGTCGGCCATGCCAGCGATTGCGACAGAGCATCATAGCTTGTCAGCCTCACAACTCCCGTCGTTTCTTTCATTCGACGTGCTTCGCTTGGCCAGTTGGATAGTCTCTACGTCGGAAGATCATCAGGCGTGCCTGGAAAATCCGACATACTTAATGCCACTAGTTCTCTTTTTTCAATCCTGTCAGAAGTTCACACTATGGAGTCTTCCTGCACATGTTTGTGAACTCATGTCCAAGTGTTGGGCCTATCCAGACCTTTGACAGTGCTGCTGTGAAGGGTTTTTGAAGAAGATGCACATTCTTAAAGATGACAGAGAATAGATCTTCTTTTTCAACAGACATGGTGCTTGAGAGAAGCCAAAGCACGAAACACGTTGAGAACACACCGCTCGCCCCACCTTTAGACTTTCTATCTGTTTTGGATGTTTGTTTTCACATTTTTGTTCAAAACGACAGCTTCGCAGGCTCGTGTTAGGAGTGTCTGAAGAGAATTTAATGCGGAGTGAAGAGAAACGTGGCGTGGGTCAGGTAGACAGAGATCACCATGGCATTCGTGTCATTTCAGCCATCCAACACCTCGGTAAGAAGGTTGAATCAAAGTGAATGATAAGATATATGGGCGAACTGTGACCGCATTCGATAGATCTCCAGGCCAAGAGCTGCCTTCGCTTGCCTTCGCTTCAGCGCAGGTGAGCACGTGACTAGTTGGATTCCAAACTGCACGAAGTGCAGTTGGCGCTTGATCCAAAGGGTAGAACCAGCGCCTCCTACGACTCAAAGGAGTGCGGCAGCCAGTTGCACAGGAGCCGCCCCAGGGCTTCCGCCTCTCCGGAAGACGCGAAGGATTTGTGAGGCCGTGTAGAGCTGAAACAGAGGAGAAGAACGGCCGTCGCGTGGCTCAAAACCTCAGACGAGAACCAAACCTGCAAGATATGGTCGATTCATCCTTTACAAGGGAGTGAGTTGGATTGGCACCCGATGGTTTTGAGCCACAGACAGATGTTTTGCTTTTTTCCAATGGGGTGTGTGAGCACTCCGAGGTTCAAGAGGGCTGGGAACCGCTTACTGCGTCTTCTGGACATGTTGTTTTTTTGTTATTTTTTTCAGGGCCCTTCACAAGAATGGCATAGCCGCGTAGCATGTGTTTTGAACATTCAGCGAAGAGTCATCTCAGCGCTTTCAGCCCAACTGGCTCAAGTCTTCCAAATCTCAGGCCGTTCATGCATGCTTATGCGTACGTTGAGCCAATGGCTGCCCATTCTCACCTGCGCCGTGCGTCCCGCGATGAGAATCCAAGGAATGCAACGATGGAAAGTTAGGGTCTGAAAGCACGTCAGATCAGAGTGGCTGGCTTGGTCCATGTCTTTGCACGGTTTTCCACTTTCAACGGATGCAACCAAATTGGACATGTGATCGGTCTTGGACACGTGTTCGATTTTGGCTCTGTGATCATTCGGTTCAGGACACCATGATCTGGATGATGCAAAGCACTTTGATATTGGAGATCTTCAAGGAGCTTTGACGTCGACAGGTTTCAGCAGCTTGCGTCACTTGACGCGGTTTTGGGCCAGCTTCTAATTTGGACACTGCAGGTACGGCCCGTTTTGGCCCTTGGGGAATGGTTTGCATATCGGGCAGAGCCCTGAATCAATCTGAATCATATATCTGAAATGACAGCCAGTCAGTCGGTTTGCGCTTGCCTGCAGGTGCTTTGTGAGCATTACCATCCCTCAATAATTTCATCAAGACGAGTGTGGAGTTTTCGATTGGCAGGATTCGAAGATTTAGAGAGGTTGCACAAAGCTGTCAGCAGGGCTCTAGGACAGGATTGCGATTTTTGTGAAAGTTGTTGTCGCCAGATGTGAACTGTTTGTCGTTTCGAAAGGCTGTTGTCTACCCCATGTGCTGTGCCTGTTTTATTCTGATCGGTTTCAAGCGAGAACGGTTTGGATCAGGAGAGACCTTTGCCATTGTGAGCTTCAGCACAGCCGCCTGGACCATTCCACTTGACATGTCCGAGGACCCGGGAAAACCCCAATCCGCTGGTCCTTCACGTCGCAATATCTCCTTGAAGGCTTCAAACGTTCTTCTTCCACTGTGTGCTCAAACATGCCTTGTCTTCTCTACAGTAGAAAGGATTTAAACTTAACGAACAGAGACTCGAGCCCATCCCTCGCAAGATGAAGAGATGCGCAGGCCAATCAGCAAGAGAGACGATTCTGTCACACGCTGGCCAAAGAATGAATGGTCGGATGATATCTGTGCTTGTTGTGGTTCTCCAGGATGCACCATACCTTAACGCCTTCCAAAAGCTCAACTCGACACACGGACTTTATAAGGCGACAAAGAATGAGCTTCTTGGCCAATTCACGTAGTTCATTTCTATCTATTCTGTCTATATAATTCATATTCTTTTGAGCCCACCCTTGCTGAATTAAGTATATAGGCGCCTACTTAATTAAGCAAGGGAGTAACATCCTAGCTACTGGACGCAGGATGGCTCACGCTCGCACTACTCATTGGTTCCTAGATTTTGAGGGAACTTGCAATCCTGACTGCTCTTCCTCACAGCCGTTCCCTTTTTTTCCTCTCTCTCTTTCTCGAATGACCGACCACTCAGGATCTATTTCTCTGGAAATTCCGGCGATTCAATGTTTGGCATTCCTACTCTCGAAGGCGATGGGACAGATGAGCTTGATGCACTGGGTTTCGGAACAAGCTCAAAGCGGGCGTCAGAGTCAGAGGTGCAGGAGTGGAGCCCCTTTCTTTCCCAAGACGTGGACCTTTAGAGGTGATATTCACACCGCTTCGCGGTCGAAGACGCCCGCACAGATCGCAACCTGTGCTCTCGGAACCGGGGAAAGAAATGCGGCGCGCAGCTCCACATATGCGATTGTTCCCCCCAAAAACATCAAAAACCACATGCTCAATACCACTCACCTCATCCAGTCGGACTGGGCACACGACCGAACACATCCACGATATCAATCGTAGTGTCCCGCAGTTTGCCTAGACGTTTGCGATTTCTGCGATGTCCATAACGCAGTCTCCTCCGGCCGGCATAACCGGCATCGCATATCCATAGTGCAGTGCCCCTTGGCTTGCCGAGACGTCTGCGATATCAATAATGAGATCTGTCCCGATCGGCATAACCGGCATCGCCAACGTCTGGTCCAACTTTGGTCAATTCCCGAAAGCATTGCGAAGGGTTCTTCCGGAAAATCCTTTGAACACTGACACTTCGACACTTGCACTTACACACTGACACTTCGACACTTACACTTACACACTGACACTTCCACCACACTTGCACTACAACATGAACGCTATACGTACCCCAGTGTAAGTGGAAGAGCGCAAGCATCCAAGTGCTAAGTATGCACGTGTCAAAGTATGCAAGTGTAATGATGCAAGTGCGATGATGAGCATGGAAAACTAGCACGGGAGATGTCCTAATGAAAAACGTTTCCCCACTTTATAAATTCTCTCTTAAAGGCGGAGGGTGGGACGAACAGCGTCAACCGAAAGTGCAACCCTCTGCGGAGATCGTGCGTGTCGAGTGCGCGAAATGCAGGCGAGAGTGCGATTCATCCCATGTGCGCGCAACCCTCTGCGGAGATCGTGCGTGTCGAGGGCGCGAAATGCAGGCGAGAGTGCGATTTGTCCGGTCCGCGCGCAGCCCTCTACGGAGATCGTGCTTGTCGAGTGCGCGAAATGCAGGCGAGAGTGTGATTTGTCCGGTCCGCGCGCAACCCTCTGCGGAGATCGTGCGTGTCGAGTGCGCGAAATGCAGGCGAGAGTGCGATTTGTCCGGTCCGTGCGCAACCCTCTGCGGACATCGTGCGTGTCGAGTGCGCGAGATGCAGGCGAGAGTGCGATTTGCCGGCTGCCCGCGCAACCCTCTGCGGAGATCACGCGTGGCGAGTGCGCGAACTGCAGGCGAGAGCGCGCTATGTGAAATCACGGCGCGACCCTCTGCGGAGATCGTGCGTGTCGAGTGCGCGAAACGCAGGCGAGAGTGCGATTCGAGCGGAGCAAGCTGTGGAGCTGGAAGCTGAGCACTGGCGACGTTGTAGTGCAACTTTAGTAGCCGGAGGAGCTGGGGAGCTGGAAGCTGAGAACTGGCGACGTGGTAGTACGACTCGTACGCGGAGTAGCTGGGGAGTGGGAAGACGAGAACTGGCGACTTGGTAGTACAACTTTAGTACGCAGAGTAGCTGGGGAGCTGGAAGCTGAGAACTGGCGACGTGGTAGTACGACTGTAGTACGCGGAGTAGCTGGGGAGCTGGAAGCTGAGAACTGGCGACTTTGTAGTACAACTTTAGTACACGGAGCAATCT